AAAGAAAAAACGAACCAGATTTTGATAATGTTTCCAGAATCAAGTAAAAAAAAACACTGATGATTGAAAAGAAATTTGTTAGAAAATGAAAATTTCACGATAAAAACAGTGGTCCGCAGTCAAATCAAAAAAAGAGAGAGTGAATTATAGTTTTGAAGAGGTTCCAACCTTCCTGGCTATTGTTGATAGGTGCCTGTAGTGCTGCATCAACGAAAGATATTTACCAAATCACTCATTACGTTGTAATAATGGATTTGGTTGAGTGGCAGTTTGTTGAGTCCGTTTTTCAGCTTCTTGTTTAACCGTACTCTGCTGGATATTAGTCGGCAGCCCAGGATTGAGACTCATCGCATATGGCAATAAGGTTTTCGGCATATCAGCAAAATCGACCATTATTTTGATGAACATCGTATCATCTCGAACGTATGGATTTCCCTCCTGTTGGATCATGGCTAAGGGATAAAACTTCGGTATGCCACTTGCAATATTCATTTCGGATCGTGATCGCTGGAAACTATTCGATCTGATGTCAGGGCGAAATGAATCAATGATATGTCGTTGTGCTGGTGTTTGATCGTATAAACAAAATGTGACCTTGTAGTTGAAGGGAAACTTCAAGAGCGCATCGTGCTTACCACGCATAAGCACAAAAAAGAGAGACATATGTGTATGACGAGCATTTCCATCACCATTCAGATATAAACGTGCGCGCATCTTATAGCCAGTCGGAGATGAATAAAACGGAGGGGAATAGATCGAAGTTTGTCGTTCAGACTCGGCATCAACTACAAATAAATACTTTAATCAATGGCAAGTTCATAACCTATCAATTGAATGCAACACAAAGCAGATAATAAAAAATAGATTTATATGAGTATCGAAATAAAACATGAATGATTTGAATATGAATAGTGAAATAGAACGTAATAGAAACTTTACTCATTTTCTCTCTGACGGCAGTTATCTTCCATATGAATGTTCCATCATAAGAAACGAACTGTAGATCATTCACTTGTTGTTTTAATGATGCCATATCTTGATGAAGAATCTCTTGATTAGGTTTGATTCCATTGATAAAAGTGTCCTGTTCTTGAATGCTCAGTTTGAGTGCTGCCATACTACGATTTAGAACATCTGTCCCGTTCTGTAGTCTTAGAGATTCAATACTGAGACGTTGTTCATCTTCATTCAATGTTTGAATTCCTCCAGCAAGAATATCAATTGTTTCATACATTTCTTGCAACTGAACACTCATATTGTTAGTACCAGGTGGAATTGTAATCGTAGTAGAATGAGGCACGATATCCATATTCATACAGGAATTTTGTTCTTGTCTATTACCTGTTAGTTTGAGTATGAAGTGACGCACCAAAGCGATGATTATATTTTGATGTTGCTCAGTCATATAATGAGTCGACATTTGAAAGCGTACGACCGATTTCGAACAACCAAAATCTTTGAGAGGACAAGATACGGTGAATTTATCGCATTCGCTTACTTTATGTTGATCGAGACTATTCGTTGAATCGAATCTTTTGCCACAATATTCACATATTGGATTCGGATGAGCTTGTATTAGGTGAATCTTAAAAAACCACACATCACTACAAAACTATTGTTATACAGTAGAATACTGGAAGCTTTTTTCAGAAGTATCATACTCAGCTAGTCGATTTGTCATTTCACATCATTATACTGATGCTCATCAATGCGCTGTTCATCCACAGATGAGCTTCCTAGAGGGCAGAAGATGTGCGTTATGTGCTGAGATATAATGCGAAATGGATTGCTCTAATGCAACACCAATCGCATTGAAATTCATAGATCAATATGGATATTATATAATATAAAGCTAACTGGAATCAGAAAGATGCGTCTTAGTAAATAAAATATCTGGTTACGAAGTATATACAACTATTCGGCTACATTCATTCAGTCGGACATTGATCATGTGACCTTTGCTCTCAGTATTAATCAACTAGGAATTATTAATTGATTCTGTAATTTAAATCGGCAGAAAAATCGATTTTTGACTAGCAAACAACGTAAGATTATTGAAGTGTCTAGGAACAAGCCAAACTTTCGACATTGTCCATTAAAAACTAGGTAGTTTTCATTTCACGCACTGGAGATAAACTATCCGTCACCTAGCTCATTATTCAAATTCGTTTGTATTTCAGTATAAATTTTATAATGCTGTCGATGTATGCCATAATTTTCAGTAGCGTATCAAGTCCTAACGACATGAATGTTAGTCAGTCACCATACCTCATAGTCTTTCAGCAACCCGTCCCAGTTACACAAGTAACAAGCAATAGCTAATGTCTGCATATCATTTGTGAAACCTCGACCAAACAACACCTAAAGCAATAGAAAACAATATTGATTAGACACAACAGATTTTTGATTGTAACCTCTCTCTTTGGAGTCGCTTCTTGACATTCTCGACATTTTATTACTTCGCTTGAAAATACAAAGATAAATTTGAATAATATAAATCAATAGGAATCTATACTTTACCCATCCGTAGATTCTGCGCATGACTTACACTGTCGGTGCCCACAGAGAAGTTGAACAGGTTCCCGTAAAATTAGTGAGCATATCCGACAATGAAATGCTAAATCGATAGTTCCTATATTCCTTGCATCAAAACCGACCATATTTCTCTCGTACTATAATATAGATCCAGATAAATAAATAAAGAATCAAAAAATACGAACAAACCGTTGAATGCAATTGAGTTTTATGATTTGATTGTATCTCTTGTCTGTTAAATACTGGCTTGAAAGCTGGAAAAATCAAAGTCAAAATCAACTATAAATCGGTTTGAAAAACGATTAGAACTTTCTTGCTAAAACTCTTCCCAAGTGAGCAAAAGAAGGGCTAAATGACTCGTCTTTTTTCTAGTCATGTCGACCCGTCTAAGTCACATGATTGACGGGCGACATTATACGAGTCACAGGCTTATGTAGTGGACGAGCCCGGACTAGTCTAAATGAAAATATGTAAGGATGGAAGTTAGATTCGAACATGCATACAATGTATCACTTACCCATCGTTTAGACGATTGAGCCATATAATCAAGAGATCAACTTCTACATGTTCATAATCATTCTAAGATGCTATTTAATACAGTTTTGCTCAAAGTTTTTTAAGTTTTTGTGTGAATAAGAAATTATCTTCTAGAGAATACGAGATTATTTAGACAATATTAAACAAAATAAATTTTAAAAATTTTATATTTTTTGAAGGAATATCTTTTGATTACTATCGACTAGGACTAATTAGCTGCATTAAAAAAATAAATTTTCTATGTAAAAATAAACAAAAAACAAAAATCTATTTATATTGAAAATAAACCAGATTTTTTTCATATTAGGGTTTAGTTCAGTTTTAAATTTAAACCACCGTATGTCCAACTAACAATTAAATTAGCTTTGCTTAATTTAAGTTTATTCTTAAATTCAAAATAAAATAACATAAAGCTATGATATAAAAAGATTTAAATTATTTTTAATTTTTCAAAAATTTAGTACATCTAATAGTTTTAAAATATATAAACTAGCCTTCCTCGCTATGAGATAAATATTGTTCTTAGTACTTACTCTTACTTTTATGTTCGATATACTCTTAGATTTTCAACATATGAAAATACAAATATAATAAGATATATTAAGACAGAAATGAACAAAGTATACTGTCCATCTTGGACCCCACTATTGATTATGGCAGACTCTCTGATTGTCATTCTAGCTAGAAAAAAAAATTAACGACACCAATGACAATCGACATAATTTTAATATAAAATAAATGCATGTCATTAATTTTCGTAATTATAATGTAACAGACCATGCTTAATCATCAATCTACGAAGGTTTCAGTACAAGACAGGCAATAAAATGATTGTTATTCTACTATCTAGTCCATATCCTAAAGGCATCTGATTATCCATTGATTATTTCCAATAAAAGATACAGATATTCATAAATTTTTCTACTTACATTCTACTTCTTTTACCTTCCAGTATCCATCAGTTTAAACGAATCAGTAGGACAATTTAGTCCAACGAAAGTGGGTTGTTTAGAACTTTTCAGACTAGTCTGGGTGTGATGAGAAGATTTACACCTATACCTACACCCACACCCTCACCGTGATGAGCACAGCTGTTTATAAGAATTGATGATGCAACGATGAACAGAATAGGCAATTACAGATACATAACTAACGTTTGTGATTACAGTTGTCGCTTCAAAAAGTAGAATTTTTCGAAATTTGACAATGATGCAAATGTTTATATAGCCGTCATATTTCCGTTTTTGTTTTCGATGACATCACTTCCTTTCTATTATATTTGACTTCCTATGAAGTGATGACACGCCATTATTAACACTTCATAGTATGAAGTACTTCTGACGAGTATGAGGTAATTCAGTATTTGAGTCTGCACAAATTTAAGACGTTATATCGAAATTAGTTAACTTTCGCTGAAAAAATTTCATATCAAAGATGAATCTTTTCAAATGTCTAGTGAAAATAAGCTTTGGCGGATCCTTTATCATCTAATAAATGTCTGACAGCTAACTATGTATCATTCGTTTATCTCTTCCTTTTTCTTCTCTTCGTCTTCTTCCTGTCTC